AACTTGACGAGAAGATGAGCATTTGCTCTTCGACCCCACAACACGGGGGATATACAAATTCCAGCTTGCTAGAAGGTGTGTGAAAGTGAGAAAATATCATGCCATGCTACTCTTAAGAACCTGTATGAGCCGAAAATGGATGTCATTTTGACCATTTTGCTTCAAAATAACAGCGGAAATCGAGATAACAAAACATATGCTTTGTGTCCTACTTTGCAGACGAGGACGTGTATCGTCGTTTTGTAATGTTTGTAAAGCATAATTATGTTCTTCCATTCATTCTTACCATGGAATATGCGTTTGCATTGTTTTTTTTACTGGTAATAGACCAGTTAATAGAGCCTGATCATCTTGCCGGCGGAAGGTTCATCCAAAAGGCATTAAATCACTTTTTTTAAAAGACTTTTCCTCGAAGTTATGTAATCAGCCTCAGTGGTGTAGTGGTAAGGTGTTGTCGCGTTCAGCCGAAGGTGCTGGGTTCGAATCCCTCACAACTCTTTTTTTCCTTTCTTCCTTTTTTTTCCCGTTTTTTTTGTGTTGTTATTTTCTATAAATATATACCTAAATAACTGTTATTTAACAAAGTGCAATAAACAGCAACAAAAGTATCGAGTTTCCAGTGAAAAGATAGTACTCCCTATATTAAATATATGGATCAACAATCTGAATTTCTATCGTTTCCTACAATTTACTGTGAGAAAACCAGAGTTGATAACCACTTGTCGTAATGATCATTTTCTAAACAACGTTCCCACAAGTTCTTTCTATAGACTGATGGTAATTATTACTTTCCAACATGTAAATAGGACATTCAATGTCATTTTCGATTCTTTTAAGTCTCACGGCCTAACTAATGCCAGTATCAACAGAATGTGCCGCAGCATTACTATCTTTTAGATACCCTAGTTAGTAGTATAGGGCGCACCGAATTAACCTTTTTTGGGGGCAGGAATTTCATTAACTTGGGCAGGAATAAATTAACGCCAATGACGTCATAACCTTTTGTCTTGATCTCATGAATAAGCGCAGCGATGCCATTAAGATAAGGTCATGTGCTATTTTTAGTTGGTTTAGGATTTCTAGTTACTTTAAGGTCGATAAACGTCTTCGTTTTCGATTGGTTAGTTAGAAAATAAGAAACGTTTTTATTGGTTAATTCATACTGTCTGCGGAGTAAAGTCAAACTTGTCTGTGACTTAAAATCACGGAGGCGTAATGTAATTATGCAAGTCCTATTTCCTGCTGCTGTGATTGTCCTAGTTCCGGTTCACTGACTTTTGGCGGGCAAATCGTGCATATTAATGAGGGCAAAGACAAACTAGCTCTTTTTTACACTGCGCACAATGTTTTACCTACCCCCTATTTCCCTCCTCAATTTTTTCTTTTTCCCTTCTCTACAATTTTATTATTTTCCCTCCTCAATGTTTTCATTCCCTCCTCCACAATTTTTTATTATTTTTTTCCTCAACGTTTTTTATTCCCCTCCACCAAAATTTTAATATTTTCCCTCAATTTCATTATTTTCCCTCCTCAATGTTATTATTCCCTCCTCTACAATTTTATTATTTTCCCTCCTCTTCCTCCTCCTCCTCCTCACTTCTATTGTTTTTCCTCCTCCACCTCCTCATTTTGATTGTTTTTCCTTTTCCTCCTCATTTTGATTGTTTTGATAGGGTCGATGTGGGGTTGATGTAGGGTCGATGTGGGGTCGATGTGGGGTCGATGTAGGGTCGATGTGGGGTCGATGTGGGGTCGATGTAGGGTCGATGTAGGATTGTTATTGTTTTCCCTCCTCCTCCTCCACATTTTTATTGTTTTCTCTCCACCACCACCACCACCATCACCACCGCCACATTTCTATTGTTTCCCCTCCACCACCACCACCGTAACATTTCTATTGTTTTCCCTTCTCCTCCTCCTCCTCCTCCCCCTCCTCCTCCACCTCCTCCTCATTTCTATTGTTTTCCCTCCAAGTTTGGCCTTCTTTGGACTTTCGAGGGAAAACAATAGAAATGTGGCAGTGGTGATGGTGGTAGTGGCGGTGGAGAGAAAACAATAAAAATGTGGAGGAGGAGGAGGGAAAACAATAACGATCCTACATCGACCCTACATGGACCCCACGTCGACCCCACATCGACCCCACATCGACCCCACGTCGACCCCACATCGACCCCACATCGACCCTATCAAAACAATCAAAATGAGGAGGAAAAGGAAAAACAATCAAAATGAGGAGGTGGAGGAGGGAAAACGATAGAAGTGAGGAGGAGGAGGAGGGGGAGAAAGAGGAGGGAAAATAATAAAATTGTAGAGGAGGGAATAATAACATTGAGGAGGGAAAATAATGAAATTGAGGGAAAATATTAAAATTTTGGTGGAGGGGAATAAAAAACATTGAGGAGGGAAAATAATAAAAAATTGCGGAGGAGGGAATAAAAACATCGAGGAGGGAAAATAGTAAAATTGTAGAGAAGAGAAAAGGAAAAAATTGAGGAGGGAAATAAAATTGAAAAGGGAGGGGTAGGTAAAACATTGTGCGCAGTGTAAAAAAGAGCTAGTTTGTCTTTGCCCTCATTAATATGCACGATTTGCCCGCCAAAAGTCAGTGAACCGGAACTAGGACAATCACAGCAGCAGGAAATAGGACTTGCATAATTACATTACGCCTCCGTGATTTTAAGGGTGTGTTCCTTTCGACGAATCCAAAAACGGATTTTTGATCCTAGATTTGCCAGATTTCTCGGTCGAAAGGAACGTGAAATCCGAAATTGGATTTGTAACCTTGGTAACCTTTCGCCAACGCGTGCAATATGCACGACAGCCTCTCAAAAAATGACGTGTTTTCTACTGTTTGAGAAATTATGCGATTATACCGTGCAGAATTTAGTGGTCGGCAGTTCGAATAGCGACGATGGAACATATAAAACAGACAAAGAAAGAAGCATTAAAATTGAAAATTATCTAAAGAATGTCGGCCAGTTTGATCCAGTTCCATAGCTCGGATTTTTTTATGTAGCACGATCGAACGCCTGTCGCGTCTACAAGCGAGTTTGTAGTTAGATAGCAGTTCATTTGTTACTTTTACTTATTTCTGATTTCAAGCACTCTTTAGAGACAAATGGTTAGTATATGGATATTTTAATGTACCAGGAACAATCTTCTAATGTTTTCAGATGTTTTGCGGCAAATGAAAGCAACGAGGAAACTCTACGGCCTCCGTGGGAATACTTCAACTGAAAATACCGCTGGATCATCTGACTAATTTCGGATCCACTGTGAATGGAACGGCGTAGATCACTAATCCGTTAATCTGGATTTGGATTCTTCGGATTTCAAATCCAGTGAATCCTTTTTCAAAAAGGATTCACCAGATCAAAAATCCGGATTTGGATTTGCCGAAAGGAACGCGAAATCCGTTTTTAGATCTAAAATCCGTTTTTGGATTCACCGAAAGGAACACACCCTAAGTCAGACAAGTTTGACTTCACTCCTCAGACAGTATGAATTAACCAATAAAAACGTTTCTTATTTTCTAACTAACCAATCGAAAACGAAGACGTTTATCGACCTTAAAGTAACTAGAAATCCTAAACCAACTAAAAATAGCACATGACCTTATCTTAATGGCATCCCTGCGATCACGACAAAAGGTTATGACGTCATTGGCGTTAATTTATTCCTGCCCAAGTTAATAAAATTCCTGCCCCAAAAAAGGTTAATTCGGTGCGCCCTATACTATAATTTTATTTCATAAATGTTTTAGCGCACAACGTGGAATAATTTCTTCCCTCCTTCCCAAACGCGCGGGACAGAATTACGTGACGTGACACACTTTGCATGACTGTACTGAAAGCTAGTTTGCCTCTGGCATTTCGACAGTTGTTTTCGTTCATTGCCGTGGCGGCAAGTGAAATTGCTACAGTTATAAGTTCAAATTCTTCATTCATTTACTTCTAGGGGTCTTTCCGAGGAATCTTCTGAGAAGTTCTATGGATTCTTAAACTAACATAGTCTCAGGTGGGTATCGTTGGATTAAAAATTGTTAATTTGTTAAATCGCTGCATAAAATTCAGAAAACGGAACAGATTACTTGTGATTTTTGTTGTATCTTTTACCGCTTTGTGGACGTTTTGACACTTAATACTTTAACTCAGCTTTATTTTAAAAAACCTATACACATTTCAGACCAATATTGTTTCGAGAAGTTACCGAATAATTAAAGGTTTGGCGCCTACCGTAATTCACATTTGGTTGTGCTTCGGTCAGAGGTCACCTTTTTGGCCTGTTTTTAGTGTAACATTTACATTTGCTTCGCTTTGTCAGCGCTTGTGATTTCATTTGCCCAAAAATTTTGTTTCGCTAATTTGAAGAAAAAAGAATGCTCTTTCAGGCTAAACAAGCCTTGGTGTTCAAAGCCATGTACCAATCCGCTTTTTTAGCTCGTGAAAAAGTGCTAAATTTTGACGGTTGATTAAGGGACTTTGAGTCAACAACTTTAAAAATCTCTTAAAAAATCTCTGTTGACCAAATCGCAAACTAATCAGTTAAAATTATAGAAGATAGATAGTAAAAATACGAAGTGTCATTATATTTTAGTAGCCAACTTTATTTTAAAATGTACGAGCCACTGAATATGACTCTAATTTTGCATGATTTTTGCCCATTTTAGGCCTCGAGAAGAAAAAAATTCGTTGAAAAAATATTATTCACTCGATCGAACTTAAACCAACGATTTTGTAACTAGGGCCCACAGGGCTTTAATCTGGCTGAGTTTGAGACCAGGTCATTTTTTGACTATTTCCACTTCTAGTTGATATTTACGCGGAGCCGCTCTTAAGTGAGCAAAGTGGAAACCTTCCAAAGGACTATCTTTGAGGACAAAATTCAGAAATCTTCTATGCTCAAACAAAAATTTCTAGTGTTTACAAGCGATTGTGCCGAGATACCGCGCAACATACTATACTGGATAAAGTGCAAAGCACAGCAAAACATAATTCTTC